TCGTTTTCAACGGTGGTTTTGCCGTTTGGCAGATTCGCGTCGGGCTGTTTTTGCAGCCCGACGTAGGCGGTGCCGTCGTAGCCGAAAACGAGAACGAAGCGGCGGCGGCACGCGTAGTCGCTCGCGAGATGCTTGCTCTCGGAGGTGAAATAGTTTGCTATTTCGTCCATTAATTTTAGCGAGAAAAGCGGCCTACTGCTCGCTGGCCGCTAAAAGACTGACGCTACAGTTGCTCTCTTAAGCGGAGCTCAATCGAAGTGGAGTCGGCAGCGCGCAGCACAGAGAGCGCGACGCGCTCAGAGCCGACAGCGACTCTGCGCCAGCTGGCTGAGTTTCTGGCGGAAGCCGCGCGCCACGTAGAGCAGTTCGACGCGGACCTCGAGTTCGCGGAGCGCGAGGACGCGGACGAAGACGGGCCGGAGGGTGAAGCTCTGGGGTGCGCGAGCTACAGCGCGGCACTGACCCGCCTGACTGGCTTTCTGACTGCGGATGCGGTAGTGCTGCGCGAGTTTGTGTTGGACGCCGTGGTGAACCTCGCGTCTCTGCTAGCGAACAGGCGTTTCGCGCTGGGTCTGTGGAACGTGCAGAATCCGGACTTTGCAGACGACGTGCCGCTAAGCGACGCAGACGCGTCCTGCGCGGCGGACGTGGAAGCGACGCTGCGCTTTTACGAGACGCTGTTGCGGCGACTGACCAGTGCAGAGTTGCTAGAGCTGCGGCCGGACTTGGCGAATCAGTTGTACTGTCGCGAGTACTTCCAGTTGCTGCTATGTATGTGCGCAAAGTCGCGCGAATTGCGCTTCCGCGCTGCGCTGGCTGCGTACTGCGAGCTACTGGCGGCGCATAACGCAAAGCAGTACCCGCTCTACTTCAACCTGTGGGTGCGGCCAGCGGCGGCGCTGCTAGACGGGGCGCGACTGCCGGAGGCGGACTGCGCGCAGTGTCGGACGAGCGTGTTTTTGAACCCGCGGCCGGCGTTGGTGCGATTTAGGCGGCCGCTGGTTGCGGACATCACCAGTCCAAGCTTCTTCAACGACACGAAAGCGCTATACGCCAAGAAAGAGGAGGCGAGCGCGGAAGAGGGCGCGCGCGAAAACCGCGAGCTGAAGCGGGAGCGCCGGCGAGTGGCGCAGAAGCTGCGAGGCGAGGCGCGCAACCAGCAGCAGGCGCTAGCGGAGCGCAAAACGTTTTTGCGCAACAAGGCGGAACAGCAGCGCAAGCACCTAGACCGCGTGTTCGCCGAGGATGCAGCAGAATATAAGCGCAGCCGCACCAGCGGGACAATCCGCGGCGCGCCTCGCAAAAAACGCACGCACAGCGCTTCCGAAGATGCAGAAGCGGCTTAGCGTGCGCCGCCGGCCGCAACGCCCTTAGCGGAAGGCAGGCCGACGTTGGCGTGGAAAAAAGAGGCTGTGCCTTTGTCGACTTGCGAGTACACGGAAGGCAGTCCGGTTATGCGCGCGAGCAGACTCTGCGCGTAGGCGCGGTGCGCGTCGGGCGTGAGTTCTTTGCGTATCAGCAGCTGCAGCGCGGGCGAAGTGCCGGTGTTACGCATGAAGAAGACTCCGTAGGGCTCGGCGGAGAGCGTGTGCAGACGCGCGAGCGCCTCGGCGGCGGCGAAGCCGCCGCTGAGCAACTTTCGGTTTTGCTTCGTGACTTCGGTGAGCAGCGTGACAAGCTGTTTGCTGCGAACCAGCCGACGCGCTAGTTGAAAGTGGACGTCGGTGAAGGTTTCGCGCGGCGCGTCGAGCGCAGACTCTACGTCGTCCCCGGCGGACGCCGCGAGCCCGAACGCGCCAAGCACTGAGTCTACAGAGTCTGCCGCGCCAGTCAGGCGCTGCATCAGCTGCGAGTAGTCCGGCGGCAGCTGTGCGGCCGCTGCGGGCGCCGCGGCCGCCGCAGGAGCCAGATCGGCGGCGAGCAGCAGCTGCGCGGCGAGCAAAATTTTGACAATCATGTTACGCTAATACGCAAACGGCCTCGCGGAAAAAGCGCGCGACGCGCGAGCTGCCAGCCGAGCGCACTGATGTTATAGACATGACGATAATTATTAAATTCGCAATTATAGCGCCAGAAAAGTTTCGATGAAGCTGTTTCAGTACGTAGTGACTGGCCGCCAAACGCCGAGCGAGAAAGTCGCGGAGCCGAAAATCTTCCGCATGCGCTTGTTCGCGCGAAACCACGTCGTCGCGAAAAGTCGCTTCTGGTACTTCATGAAAAAGCTGAACCGCATTAAGAAGACGAACGGCGAAATTCTCGACGTCAGCCGCGTCGAAGAGCCGAACCGCGACACAGTGAAGCCCTACGGCATCTGGCTGCGCTACGACTCGCGCACTCACACGCACAACATGTACAAAGAATTTCTGGACGTGTCGCCGGAGGGCGCGGTCGGCCAGATGTACGACGAGATGGCTTCGCGCCACAAGGCCGCCTCCTGCACGATCCAGGTGCTGAAGATCAAAGAGCTTGCGAAAACCGAGGTGCGCCGTCCTCAGATCGAGGAGGCGCTCGACAAGGACTACAAGTATCCGCACATTCGCCGTCGCTTCCAGTGTCCGAAGAATTTGAAGCGCACCTTCGTGCCCGGCCGCGTCTCGACCTTCTTTAACTAGAAAATAGGACAATTAAATTTATTGCATAGCCTGTCCATGCGCCGCGCAGCCGCATAGCGCGGCGCGCCCAGCGACATGGACGCTGACCGGCTGTTCAGCTCCGCGGAAGAAGATGCTGGCGCCGACGCTTCCAGCGCGAGCTCCGCTTCTCGCGCCGCCTACAGCGCATCCGACAGCGGATCCGACAGCGGAACCGACAGCGGAACCGACAGCGGAACCAATAACGAAATTGGCAATGGAATCGAGGAGCGCGGCGGCCAAGCCGCTGCAACCGCAAAAAGCGGCGAGACGCGGGGCGGAGTAGCAAACAAAGCTGCAGGCGCGTCGACTGACGCGTTGGGCGACGCCGCGAGCAAGGCCGCGCGCCGCCGGAAGACGCGGCGGAAGAGAGCGGCGGAAACCGACGACGTCTGGACGCAGGCGCTCGCGCCCGAGCTCGCAGAGCCGCCGCTGGACTCGGACGCAGAAGGCGCGCTTTGGCAGGCGGTTGCGCAACACTCGCAAGTGGCGGACGCGCCGCGCGCGCAGTCCGGTCCGGAACCTGAGCGGCGCTCGCGGATCGCGCCGCCGCGCAACGAGCGGCGGCTGATCGCGCGGCTCAATTTGCTGCTAGACTGCGTGCTGCTCGCAAGCCACTGCGCGCCGCAGTGGGGCGCGGAGACAGCGCAGCTCGAGACGGCTACCGCGCCAGAAGTCACCGTCGACTACCCGCTCTGTCTGTTGTACTGCAAAAGTTTCGAACTGAAAAAAGCGTTTCGCGCGGTGTTCCTGGCTCGCGGCGGCGAGCCGCTCGAAAAGGGCGCGGAAGCGGTGAAGCTACCGGATGTCGTCGCGCGCGCGCATCTGCTGCGCATGGAGCTCGCAAAGCAACGCCTCGCGGCGGTTGGCGTGCTCACAAGGCTGCGGCTCTTTGCGGAAGGCCGCGTGCAGCACGCCGCGCTGCAGGATCTGACTTCCGCAGCGTTGCGCTGCGTGCAGCTCGACGCGGAGCTCGAGGTGACCGCTGCGCAGCTCGCACAAACCGAGAGCGCCCTGCGCACGCAGTTCGACACTGCCACGCTCGAACGCGTAGCCCGCGCTGTGCAGGCGCACCGCAAGCCGAACTACTTCACGATCGCGGCCAACGGTACACGGCGGTCGGCCGCGCGCGCGGACTCGGACGCATCGCACAAACAGCTGGACCTGTCGCCTGCGTTCGAGTCAAATCCGGACTTCAGCGCGCTGCCCGAGTCGGCCTCCGAGTCGCCGCGGGAGAATTCGCTCGTCAACGAACTCGGCCACACGCTCAGCTGCGACCGCGAGAACGGCCTGGAGAGCGAGTTGGCGGCTCCGCCGCGCGCGCCGCGTCGCGCGCGCAACCGCTTCGAGCGCGTGCGCGCGTTCATCGACGACGCTGCTAGCGTAAGTGGCGAAGACAGCGAGGCCGCGTCTGAGGACGACGCGCCGCTGCTCGCGGAACTCGAAGAGTTCATCGCGCGCGACGGCGCCGACTCGGACGCCAGCGAAGGCGTCGTCAAACAACTCTACTTCGAGCAAGTTGCGCGTCGCAACGCGGAAGCCACGCAGCAACTGCTCAAAAAGCTGAAGCTCGCGAGCGGCGGCGCGGCTGAAGCGAAACTGAAGGCTGCTCCGGGCAGCGCGGCGCGCACCGCGGCCATGCCGCTGTCGCTGGAGAGCGAACTGCGGCGCGCGTTTGAGTTAGACTCCGGCACGGACGGCACCGGCGACTCGGACGTCGAGAGCAGCGAGGCAGAAGCTTCGCCGGTGGCCGCAGCGCGCGCGCGCGACGCAGCGCACAGCGAGATCACGGTGGTTAGCGGCGCGCCAGCCGGCGACTGCCTGAGCTCGCTGAAGCGCCTTTTTTCTGGCGCCGAAAATACGCGAATCTAATTTGCTCGTGATTATTTAAGATTTGCGAGATCAGGCGGCGCGATCGACATGTCTGAAGCGAAGACGCGCGAGCTCTTCAAAGAGCTGAAGGCGCAGAGCCCCGCGAACCGGAAGTGCATTGACTGCGGCGCAGCGAATCCGCAGTGGGCCTCGCTGCAACACGGCATCTACATCTGTCTGATGTGCTCTGGCGTGCACCGCGGGCTCGGCAGCGAAGTCTCGTCGGCGAAGTCGCTCACGATGGACAGCTGGAGCGACGAGGAAATCGCAGTGATGAAGGCGGGCGGAAACCAGAGCCTGCTCGAGTGCTTCCAGTACTACAACATAACGAACCTGCCCATTCGGCCGAAGTACAACAGCGTCGCCGCGGAGTACTACCGGCAGCTGCTGCGCGCGAAGCTCACGGGCGCGCCAGAGCCGGAGAAACCTTCAATCGAGGACGGCGCCGCGCCTGCGAAGCCCGCGGGGGGCCGCGCGCGCCCGAAGTCGGGCAGCGGCGCACTGGGCGGCAGCGGTTCCGAAGGCGCGTTGATCGCGGGAGCGAACGGCGCCGGCAGCGCGCTGAGCACGTGGGGCTTCTCTGCGCTCTCCGCGCTGAGCACGCTAGGCTCGAAAGCCGTCGAGCTTTCGAAAACCGTCGCTTCGAACATCCCGCAGAACAATGTGCTGCACCAGGTCGGCGACTCGATTGCGACGACCTCGAGCTGGGTTGCCGAAAAAGGAAAAGACGTGTTACAAAACGTAAAGAACGAAAAGCTGCTCGAAGTCGTGCAGGAGACCACAATCGCTGCGACGAACGTGGCTGCGCAGGTCGCGGAGACTTCGCTACAAAAAGCGCAGGCGATCTACTCTAACATGACCGCGCCGCCGGCGCCGGCCAGGCAAGCCTCCGGCAGCGCCGCGCCGGAAGCGCCCGCGCGCAACGCGTCCGTGGACGACCAGCTGATCTAGCGCGCGCGTTCAATTGAACAGATCGCTCATCAGGTCCCGCTTCGCCGCGGGCGCTGCACGCGCGCCCGCAGACGCGGGGCGGCTCACGAAAAACTCCTTCTTTTGGTACTTCCTCGTTATGAAATCCAGCAGCGCTTGTGAGTCGAACCGGCTGGGGCGCACGAAGCCGGGCGGCAAGTTAGCTTCGAACTCTGCATTGACCACCGCGTTCCCGCGGCGCAGCACAAACTCGAGCTCCGCGGGCGACCATTCGTCCAGCCCCAGGCTCTTGATGCGAGACACATGCACGCCCAGGCTGCGGTGGAAGCCTGAACAGTCGATGCAAATCAAGCAGCCGACGTTCACGCTGCACCAGCGCGGGTTCGGCGCGCCGCAGTCCGCGCAGACCGAGTTCGCGCGGTTCTCGCGCACCTGCTTCAACAAAGCGTCCGCGTTGCTCATCCTGCGCAAATTGCCAGTGCGTTCGCGGTTTGCGTAAAAAAGCGAATATTCAATTTTTAGACGCCGCTGCGGCTTCCAGCGCGCGACCGCGCTCGGCGTCGAGATACGCATGCACGTTCCCGCTGGCTGCGATCAGGCTCGCGACCGGAAAGTGCTCTCCGCGCAACCGCAGCAGAGTCAGCGCGCCGCCCGCCTCCACAAGACCCGCCGCGCCGCGACAGCTGTCGAGTCCCCGCAACTCGCCGCGCGTCTCGAGCTGCACAACCTGTGCCGCTTCCAGCCCCTTTTGCCGCAAAAAGACGCGCAGGTTCTCCGAGCCCTCGAGCACCATGTAGCGCCGGCCGAGGAAGCGCGCGAGTAAGCTCGCGCCGGCTGAAGCGATGCGGTACGGAAACATCGCCTCGTCAACAGTGGTCGTCGAAACCTTCTCAAACGCTTTCACGCCGACTCCAAGCAGCCGACGACTGAACGCGTTCGCCGCCGCATCGAGCGCCGCCGCCGTCGCCACGCTAAGCGTCCTCAAACGCTCGCTGCCGGAGAACACCTCCAAGTCAAACGGCAGAGACTCACGCAGCGGATTTGCGCAACTCGAGAGTTCCGACCGGCTTTCCGAGTTCGGAACGACGCTACGCGCGACGCTGTTTGCGAGCTGACCTTTGTCCGACTTGTCACTGCTCATTTCGCCGTTGCTCGGCATGTCTGAACCCAACTGGTTTCCAACGTAGAACTCCAGAAGTTTATTGCGCAACTCATTCGGAACTAGCCGAACCATCGAGGCAGACCGGAGTGCGCGCGAAGCGCGCGGAGTTCTCGAAGGGACGTCACGACATCGAAGTCGGCGGAACCCGGCTACGAAGAACCCCCCGGCGTTCGAATTCTCCGGCGAGATTCGCACGCAGAGCGCGAGCGCCGCCTTGGACTGCGGTGTGATCGATTCAGAGAACAGCGACTTAGAGTACCACGACAGGTCACGGTAGCTACCCTTCTCGAAGCGTTGCAGCTCTTCGTAAGTTGCGACGAAGTCGAAGGCTCCGTTGGCCCGTTGTACAGGCACTTTCCAGCTAGTAAAGCCTCTGCCATAGCTCTCGGAAAACTGCGCGGACAAGTCTACCAGCGCTACGTCAGGCGCAAACGTCTGGAGCGCCTGCGCCACAACGGCTTCGTTCTCCATTGGGTTCAGCGAGCACGTCGAGTAAACAAGAATGCCGCCGGGTTTCAGAAGCGCCAGCCCGCGAGACAGTATTTTTAGCTGCTTCGAGTGCAATTTGGCTCCTTGCAACGGAGAGAAGTGTTCCCAAATGTCCAGGTTCTTCTTGAGCGTACCGTCGCAACTGCACGGCACGTCGCACAACACTCGGTCGAACAGTAGCTTAGTCGGAAACTCAGCTCCGTCAAAATTGGTCACCAGCGTCGCCACTGGGCTCGCATACCGAATCTGGTGGCGCAGTATGTCCAAGCGCTTTGCAGAAACGTCGTTCGCGACCAGCAAGCCAGCGGTCTGCAACGCGCCGCCTTGCCGGCACGCCAACATATCGAGTATTTGACACGTCTTAGAGCCCGGCGAGGCGCAAAGGTCGAGAATAAGTTGGCCGGGCCACGGGTCGAGCACGGTGGGCGGCAGCATGCTTGCGATCTCTTGCCTTCGCACTACGCCCAACGCAGTGGCAGCTGCCAGCAATGACTTCACGGCAGTATCCGCCGTCGCACCTTCTTCAACCAAAAAGGCAACGAGGTCATGCGCTACGTTGACTTCGCGCACAAACTCTTTCCGCCGCAAGTCATCAAACGCAGAGACAAACAGTTCGCGCAGCAATCGACACGCAGTGAATCGCAAAGTTATCGGCAGCTTGGCCTTCAGAGCTGCAACATAGTGCTCTGCTAGTTTCGCGCTACACAAAACATTGCTGTAAAACTCTCGAAACGCTGCATCGGCGAAAGCAGAGCTCTCAGCCATTGCGGAACCCGAAAGAAGTTGTTTCCTAACGCTACAGCCGAACCTTTATGTAGTTAATTGTTCATCGAATTTTAATTTTTCGCTGCAGAATTTCACTTCTCTTGCGGGGAAGCGATGACAACTCGGAATGCGCAAGGCGTTTTCGCAAAGCAAGCCGCAGGGTAGCAGCTCTGCGTACGCCACTCAAGAGTACCCTAGAAGTAGCGCGAGGAGGTCCATCAACTCAGAACTTTCTCTCGATGACCAGCTAGACTTGTGCGAAATAGAGGCTGAGCTGAACAAACGCGAGCAGCGCGACGCAATGAACGATTTCTTGTGCCAGTCTGGTTCTGAATCCGACGGGTCTTTATTCGAAGGCGCGAGTTCCGAAGTGTCGTCCTACGCACCCAGCTCGCATACAGAGGAAAGTTCGTCGACCGATTCCGAAGCACGGAAGCAAGCCGCGTGTTCCTTTGCCGCACGCAAACAGACTCGTGCGAAGCGAAGGTCTCGCCGCAGAACTTCCGATGCGAAGCGCAGAAAAGCTGCGCGCAAGCCCACTGCGAGCGAGATCAGCGCACTGCTGCAGCAGTGGAATGCTTTAAACTCCACGTACAGCGAGCTACTACTCGACTTCTTGCTCAACAGGCTGGCTGACGAATGTCTTTGCTCCGTTATCTTTCGGTACATCCAGTTATCAGCAACTTCTTCGCTCAACCAAGTGTTTTACGAAATGTACGCAGCAATTCTAGGCTGTCTTCCGGAAGATTTTTCGCTTGACGAGATAATCGAAACATTGTGCAGTACAGATTACGAGTTTGCACCGAAGGTAGTTCTCGTCATCGACAACTGGAACTTCCTTCTTTGCTGTTCGCAGATTATGACATCACTAGAAGCCATTATGAGCAGCAAGAAGTCGCCGTTCGTGCTCGTTCTGAAGTCGTCAATGTGTGAATCTCTAGTGCTGCGAACAAACGGTTTGCGCACTGTCAGCGATCCGTTCAACATCGAAGTAGTTTTTTTGCTTCCGTTTGACGGGAGCCTTAGCAAGGAACAAAGCTTGACGAGCGAATGGTACGCCGTCATCTTCGACTTTCTTGCGACCCAGCTCGCAGGCCAGCAACTGTACTGCGACTGGGAGCAGTTGCAGGTCAGCACAAACCTGAACATGCCAAAGTCGCCTATGGCCTGGATGTTTGCCAAGGAGATCGGCCAACTGCGCAATTTGAAGAAGCAGTCTAATCAAGTCACTTCGAAAGTCGTTCCAACCACAGTGTTGCAAGAGGTGATTGAGCTAGCTTACGATCGAGTTTAAAAATCTGCGTATAACATGCCATTTTTCTGCGCGTCGGATTGTATAAAAATCGGTCGGTCAATATTCAGCAAAAGCTCGGCAAGACTGAGTAAATGAGAGCAGCAATATGTTTGTGCTGCGCTGGCGCAGCACTAGTTCGGGAAATTCCGCAGGTGTGCTTCGCTGAGCATGAGATCACAGCGTACTTGCCGCAAGCAACCAGTATGTTTGCTTGGAAACCTCTGTAGTGACGCCGCAACTGGAAATCTGCAAACTGAAGTTTAACAATCAGACCTTTACTTTGACTACCACCACGTCTACCCAAAGTTGGCCGATGTCCAGTCTGTACTTTCCCATTCGATTCACGGATTACGATGATAAGTGCATCATATTGCAATTAGGCAATAGTCCAGAATTGCACATTTGCGAGCTCAGCAGCGACATTCTGGATCAGACAATCGTCTTTCTCAACCGCATGAGTTTGTGCAATTCGGTGATGTCACAGCATTCTACGACGAACGTGCTGCTGGATCAATCGTTCCTCGCCGTACAGGATGAAGATAGTACAGAAACTTCGATAAGTCCGGGAAATAAAGTTTCTGAAATTAGTCTTGGAGATAATAATGTGGACGTCTACGAATCTGTGCTGTTCATCACTTCCGGTGATACACACAAGTTTCAAGTAGATGTTGCTGGCAACAAAACTTCAGAGAATCACTGATTCGTCCGCTCAACCGCATAGGTGTAGCTGCAGGCCGTAACCGGAATGGAAGACGTTCCGCTAAGTGTCATTCGCATTTACACGGAGCATTCAGGCCAGTCGCACAAAGTCTTGCGCTGGCCATGCGTAATATCCGTCGACGCAGTTCTCGAGAACTGCGCGATTTGTCAAGAGGAGCCCGATTTGCCGATTCTGCTTCCCTGCTTTCACTTCTTCTGTATAGCCTGCATGGTGAAATACGAAAAGTACTGCACTCCGAACTTAAGCTGTCCGGTGTGCTACCTACGAGTGAAGTTTAGCGATTTTCGGCCTGTGCGGTTGGCAAGGGTAGCGAACAACAAAAAACTTGCATTCCTTCTTATTGCCTGCTCCAACAACGAATTCTTTTGTCCAACTCTAACACCTGCACAACTTTTTTACTATTACAGCAAAATGCAGCCAATTGCAGCGGAAGAGTTCGCAGAGATGGCGAACTTTTATTCCTACAGGCTTTCGAAGCTAATAAGCGAGAAAGAATCTGAATCAGCTGACGATTTGCTGAAGTGCGTCGAGATCACGAGCACAATGTTTAGCAGACTTAACAACAATACTTCACTATCTTATAAACAAATCCGTCTCGGTCAATACTGCGTCGCACCTAGTCCCTGGGAACTAATCAAGTCGCGAGGCAGACAAATTTCTGAGCTGAGCACTGAGCCTGGCTCACCATGCAGTTTTATCTATCAAGAACTCAACGGACAAAGAATGTTTCTTGATCCGGTCTACCTGACGCTCTATAATCAAGCAAATAAGCCCAAGCCAGCGCTGCTGCAGATAGCCAGCGCTGACATTATTTCCCGAAAACAAATCATGGCAGCAAGATCGAGACTTCCGAGAAGCTTTGCAACCGTTGTACCGCCGCACTACGCCATTTTGCTGATTACTTTTCAGGCGAAGAAGTATCTAAAGTTTGCGATTCCGAAGAAACTAAGTTGGTGCTGCTATGACGCAAAGCGACTTGATGGAGCAAGAATCAAGGACGAAGACAAGTATTTTGCGTTGTTCGGTATTGAGGCTGATAGTTTGCAAAAGCACCAGCTGACGACGCCCGTTCCAGAAGATGCAAGCGTAAACGATACGAACTTTCCAGACTTAGAGTTCCATGCGGCTCAGAATCGCCTTGCTGAACAGCTGTCAAAGCATGACAACTCGATAAAATACAACTCGCTCTTCAAAGTGCAAAAGACAGACTACCCGGAGCTTTGAGGCGCGCCGCTGTTTTCCTGCGGAAAATTGCGCACAGAAGCCATCCAACTAGGATTGTTTTTTCGCAACAGCGCCAAAGCGTCCAGCGTCAACTGCCAGCTGGCAAACATCTTGGTCCACGGATTTAGCTCAATGTCTGCATAGCTTTTAATGGCGTTGTACATCGAATCTTCGATGAGCAACGAAGACTCAGAGTCGCGGAAGTGCGCGAGCACACTGTGCACGTCGCGGAGCATCTGCGGAGACAGCCCTAAACCGTTCCACTTCGAAGTAAGCTCGTGCTCATCGCGTTGAAACACGTTCTTCAACGAAGCAGTAGCTGTGTTGCGCAACGCGAAACTCACTAGAGAAGCTCGCAACGCCCTGCACGAACGCGATCAACTTCGACCGCATATCCATAGCTTAGCGAAATTAAATTGTTTGATCAATATTAACGATTGACAGCCTTTCCGCAGCGCTCTGGTACAGCTCGTCAACAGCGTTGTTCAAGTCTGCAAAACGTTCTCTGCGTCGCACGTCTCCCGCTGCTTTACAGCGAGAGTTGCTCAGAAAAACGCTAGCCATGTTGCGTGTGTCGTTCTTGAGCTCGTTGAACACGCCGTCAATCACTGCGGAGACGACGTGCTCAGTGCCAAGACTGTGCAACTGCGCTGTTGATACGGTCCCCAGCGGAAGTAGTTCAAATTCGCAATTTACATAATGTCGCCGCGCTGCGGTGCGCTTGGGCTGCCAAGCGCAGCAGCTGTCTGCGGCAGAAGTCGTCTGTGGCGCATGATGAGGCAGCTGCTCGGTCTCTTGCGGTTTGCAATCTTCAAAAAACATCTTCTCGAGCGCCTCTTCTTCGAGACGTGACGAGAGCTCGTTTGGGCCGTTCGAAATTTTGCTGCCTGGCTTCGCCAGCTTTTGCAACATGACGGTTGAAGAAGACAGATCCCAGCTAGTGTTGTTGACAATGGTTTCGAACGCCGAAAACATCGCATCAGCCGCGGAGCTCAAGTAGAAAAGCAGTAGCTTATATGCGGAAGGAGCCTGGTAAATTGATTTGCGGAGCAGGTAGTAAACTCTTTCTGGAATCCGCACGTTGTTTTCGTGAATCTTTGAACGGCAGAAAACAACGCAGCTGAGCTCATTAACCAAATTCTGGTTGAAACTTTGCTGTTGCGCTTCAGTTTTTGCGACGATGTCGTTCCCGAGCACCACGTTGTATACGGTATTTGTTGACGCGGCGTTTTTAGTCAGGCCTCTACGCGAGAGTGTATTGAGGCTGTTTTTGTCGAAGAAGCAGGAGTGGTAGAAATCTAGTCGAAGGGGGTGTGGGAAACCTACAGTTGAGTGCACCATTGTAGTTTAGCAGTGCCATGTTCGCAAGCGGCACAGAGGAATACTCTGTCGTTTCGAGCGAGGGGTCAGCCTCATCGAAAAAATCGTCTGCTTGCTGAGCCATGACCTAGAGTGGATCTAGGATTGAAGCTGATACACAGCTCGCGTGTCAGAAACAATCAGCAAGTTTCTGCTCAAGTTTGAATACGCAATCCGTTGCGCTACCTAAACGAAAATTCGTTTAGTATTAGCTGTCTCTCCCTCAAGTCCTACGCAAGGTCTCTGCTCACTCAAGCAACGTTGATACGATTAGCACGGTGAAGATCGCGAAAGTTATCGCGAGAACACCGCACCAACAGCAAATGAAGTTCAGAGGACCAGATTTAGCTTGAATTATCCAGAAAAATATTATATCGCGGTCTAGTCATGCGGCTGCAGACAGCTAGTGTGAAGCTCAGCATTTGACAAGGCAATGAATTTGAACCAGAACAATTCTACCTTTGGCCAACCCGCGGCTTCGCTTTTCAGCAATCCGGGCGGCACAGCCGCCAATCAACCTTCTTCTTCTTCTCTTTTCGGCAATCAAACTACCGCGACCTCGGAGCGAAACACAAAATCGCTCTTCGGCACGCAAAGTATATCAGCTCTTGGTCAGAACACTGCCTCGCTTTTCGGCAACCAAAACAACAGCGCGTCCGCACAACCAGCGGCTTCACTTTTTGGCAACCAGAACAACGTGGCTTCTGGATCGACCGCAGCTTCTCTCTTCGGGGCTCAGAACAACGTCTCTAACGGGCAAACAACGAATTCACTTTTTGGGAATCAGAACAAAGTACCGACTACCCAAACTGCCAGTTCACTTATCGGAAACCAGAGCGCTGCGACCCACAGCCAAGTTGCCAATTCACTTTTCGGCAACCAAAACCTGCCGGCCTCTGCCTCTGGTCAAACTTCAACTCCGCTTTTAGGAAACCAGCCTGCCGCGACTAGCGGACAAGTCACTAACTCGCTTTTCAGCAGCCAAAACGCCCCGGCCGCTACTCCAGCTTCAGCTTCGCTTTTCGGTAACCAAAGCAACGCGGCTGCCGCACAGCCTACCGCTTCACTTTTCAGCAATCAGAGCAAAACAGATTCAGGCAAGGGTGCTGCTTCGCTCTTTGGAAATCAAAGCAGCAGCGCTTCAAATTCTGTTTCGGCGCCACTTCAGAGTAGCCACAATAACTCAGCAAGCGGCCAGGTGGCCAACTTGCCAATTACGGGCGCTTGCTCGGAAACCAGTTTGGGAATGAAACCCACGTTGAAGGCTATAATCAACTTGTCGCCTAACCTTGGGCAGGCCATCTCCGCCATCAAAAGCGCTTTAAGTATGGAGACTCAATCTCTAAACGAGTTAAAAACGGGCATCGATGCTTTTTACGTCGTCGAGCAGAAAGTGCTGTCGCAGATCCGCTCTCAGTCGCACAGTAAAGATTCGTATTACCAACTCTCGTCAACTGTTGCCTTCGAGATCGACATGCAACGTGAAAATTTGCGCCTGCACTCGAAGTGCGTGAAAGAAATCTGCAGCGACCTGGACAAGATTTCCTACGCACCCTCGCTGTCAGCGGAGTTCTGCTACGGCTTTTTCCAAAAAGTATACAAAAATCGGTTTAGAACTATAAACGTCGTGCTCGACGACCTGGAGGCGATGCTAGCGATCATGCAAACCATAAATCAGCGGTCGGTGTTCTGGATCAGTTTCAGAAAGTCTGCAAACAGCGTGGACGAAGCGCTGGAGCGGCTAAAGTCGCAGCTGCTCGGACAATCTTCGCATCACTTAAATATTTAAAATGGTGAAAAATTGAGCGGACAGCGCTCAGATGAAGAACGCGGCCAATGCGAGTGAAGCTTCACTAGTGAGCTCCTTCGTCAAGTTTCCCGCGACGTCGAGCGGTAGTAACGACAACTACACTCTCTACCAGATGGCCGTCTCGTATAAGCGCTCCAATTTGGACTACCCTTCAGCTAAAGAAAATCCCGAAACAGTTGTCCGCGCAGCGCTTCCGGCAGAGCCGGAGTTATCGATCGAGTCTGCGCAGGTACGCGATTTTTTCAACGATTTTGGCGGCGCAGACCAGGGACTGATGAACGCGCTGCCGATTACAATGGTCACGAGCGACAGCCGCGTGAAAGAGATCTACTCGAAAGCGTACAAATCATGCGCGAAGACGCACTGGTCGAAGGCCAACCTCGAAAAGCTGTACAACCTGCTCGAAGTGTTCGGCGCAGATCCTTTCACGATCCAGTCGCAGTTCCCAGAGTTCACCGAGAAGCAAATTCGTTCGCGCATCAACATGGAACGCAAACGCTCACCGCAAAAGTTTTACAAAGCGTGCACTACTAAGAGCGCTGGGGCCGCTAAGAGCACCGTCGCAGTCTTCAAGACTTCCAAGCACGCCGAGTTCACCGCGCGCCTGTAACAAGGTCAGGAAACTTCCCATCCCATGCAACTCCCTTTTGGGAATTACAATAATGAACTTCAAAGTAGAAGTACAACTGTGGCTTCTGACTATTGCCAGCGCATCTCTAATACAGGTAAAAACGTTTGCGAAGAACGAGCATTGGAGTCCGACCTTTGAGGATGTTTTCAGCGACTTATATACAGCTTCTCAGTGTATACTCGCGCTGAGCAGAGCAGAGCTGATCCCCGCGCTGAGACGGTCATCGCAGTTAGTTCCATACAGCAAAATCACCAACTTTATTTTTGAGGAGAAAGGGATCTACTACATCAACCAGCGGAGAGGTAAGACGTACGAAGACAACGAAGACGCGCTAGAAAGACTCAACATCGACTCGTACGACGATGATTCTCCGCGCTCGCAGACCAATTGTATCGGCGCGGCACAACTTCTGTCGCCCTTTTCCGCCTCCGAGCTGCGGTGCGCGGACGGCATTTACTGCACAGCTATCGTTAAGTATCTGACCAGAAAACTGGAGTGCGCTCCTGAGCAACAAGACGCGATGCTCGCGAAGTGCACTATTTCGGCTAGCCGCCAGCAGGCGGGAGCGAGTCCTTAATTTCGATAATCACTTCGTACGCGCTGGAATGTACCGACTTATCTCGTAGTGACTCTAAGTACACCAAGAAGTTTCTGATGTATCCGCTGAAGTCGCATAGCTCCGACGCGTGCACTTCGTCTACGTCGACTCCGGCTGCAATCACTCTACTGAGTGCGTAACCCACGCGCGAGCTTGCATATGAACTCGGGTCCGGCCGCAGCCGCAGCCGGTCGTCCGCCTCTATCATTTTGTAAAGATTTCGAATTTTTGACTCTACAAACCCAAACCAAGTAAGAAAGTGCTCAGTCTCTGTCGAACACACAACGACATTAAGAAACACGCTAAACTCGTCGCGTAGGCAGTACTCTGCCAACACTGCATTCCAATTTTTGCTGCTTGCTCCAGCGAGCACGCCGTGTGCTCGCTGAAACTCCGCCTGCATCACCGCCAAGGTAGTCTTCGATACGTTATGCGTGCTGTTCATGCACGGGAACGCCGGAGTGATGATAGGCATCAAGTGGAGTCTGTCGCTTGCGCACTCTCTGTGGTCCCACGGCTTTAGCGCAGCGAGCTCCGGCACGTCTTCTCTTATGTTGATGTACGTCAGCAGCACGGGATTCGGCCACTGCCAGGTGCGGTACAGCTCAAAGAAGCGCTCCACGATTTGGTTCGGAGAGCAGCGGGGATAGAGCTGGCAAACACGCGCAGTCAAGATCGACCACGCGACACCTCCGAGGTAGCCGATGATGTTGGAGTAGATGCGGCGGCGCTTCGCCCAGAACTTGATGAATCTGCAGGACGAAATGAACGCGTGTTCTTGCGGGACGAGACTTAGCAGCATATCGTTGACGCGGCACCCGTTAAGCGAGCGCACTGTCTTCTTATCTAAGTTCTTGAGAATTTCGTCGTTCAAAATGCTGGTATGCTTCAGCGACTCGAGCGGAACGGGCGCAAGTAACAAATCTATTTCGATGTCTGCAAACACAAAGTTTAGAATCGGAGTGTACGCCGCCGGAACCGAGGTAATCTCGGTCACGAGTGCTTCGGCACGCAAGATTTCTACGAAACTGCCAAAAAAGTCCGCATTACCTACCACATCCGGCACGATGCAGAGTGCATCAATGTCGCTAGTAGAGCTGACGATCCCCAACCGGTACGATCCAAAAACGTGCAGTCGCGATAGATCTCGCATAAGGTCGGCGTCCGGGAGAGCGGCAGCGGCAGCCACACTGTACACCCAGCCGCATACCAAGTCTTTGACTTTTTGCAGAACTTCGGCCCGCCTACCGAATCCCGCTGTCGACTCAAAAATGTCGTAGGCGCGCAAAGCGCTCTCGAAGGCTTCAGTGCTGGCCTCGCAGTCACCAGGTGAGCTCAGCACATCGAGCGGCTCAGTGACGCCGTACAAATAGGCCCTTGCGAAGGAAAGCGACATTTGCGTTCTTCAGTTACATGCGACATAGCATTTCCTACTTTCCGAAGCCAGCATTGCGATGGGAAGCGCGGCGCGGAGCATTCTCGGATTTTTGATTTTTTTGCGATAAAAGCTGGAATAAACTGACCACGCTGGAGATCAAGGGCTCCACCTCGACGATCGGCTGCTTTCTGCCAAGCATTTGCGAAAACTTGTTGAGGCCGCCAGGATTTGTCAGCTGTCTCTGCAGCTGGAACTTCACGGGGCACGAGGTTTCATGTGAACTGAGATCGTAGTCAGGGTCGACGCACCGAAATCCTCCGGGCATCTCAGAGTCGAGGCCGCAGCACTTGCCGCGCGGACAAAGATTGAGCGCCCGGTCGCATAAGTTTGGTACGCGGCACTCGCGGAGCAGCGGGTCAAATGCAAAACCATCGTTGCACAAGCACTCGTACGAGCCAATGGTGTTTACGCAATACGCGCCTTTCGGACAAGCGACGTCGCCACTGGTGCACTCGTCTCGGTCGACACAAATCTCGCGCGTATCTGATGGTGCAAAGCCTTCTTTACACGCGCAAATATCAATTCCATTGTAATTCGCCAGAACGCCATTCACTGCATCGCAATCAGCTTTGCATGCGGCGTAATTTTCCGCGCAGGGTGCGGCAGCAGCGCCGAGCGCAACTCCCGCGATGCAGAACAACGCGACTATTGCATTATAGATCAACATACACACGCTTCATTTTTCCAACGGACCGCACACAAGCACCTCCATTATGAACGACTCTGCACCGAAGAGAAAGCAAAGTTACGCCTTCATCGGCTTGCTAGGGTTCGCGGTCGCAACGACGCTCTCGGCGCTGATCGACTTTCGGAACATCACCGCGGTGTCGCCGGACTACGTTGCCGCGGGCTGGATTTTCGGCGGGTTCTGCCAAGTTTTCGCTGGCCTGCGCGAGTGCAAAATCGGGAACCGCGTGGAAGGATCGCTGTTAACGATATATGGCGTGTTCTGGCAATACGTAGCGGTAATGAGTGTGCTAAAAAACGCAGTTTTCCGCAGCGCTAACGCAGTAGCTCCAACGCTGGAGGCCTATGTCATCGCCTACATTATATTGCTTACCCTAGGCTATATCGTGCACTGCATGCTGAAGAAACGGTCCTTCCTTGCAGCAACGTTGGGAATGGTTACCATTTTCTTAATTCTCGATGTTATTGCAATCGAAGCTGATGTGCACAACGCCGCACTGCGCTACGCAACGGGAGCTTTCAAAGTGATCGCTGCATTAATGGCATTTTACAAAAGTATTCTCGGAATTTTAGCGATGCGCGATTGTGAAGAAGCGCCAATCGTTACATCAGGTTTGAAGACAGTACTAATCGTGTGACACGCAGTAGTCACAGCTAGTACGGAAGCATAGATTTGAAAAACAGCGCAGAAACGCACCACGCTTAAACAAAGCAACAACGTAGCAATATGGAGTTTTCGTGGCCGCAAGCCAGTGTAGCGCTATCAAAGTTCAGCTGTTTCAAGCTGCTCATCATTTTAGTCTCGTTATTGCTGCACGTTTTCATAGCGCTGCCTGGGCTGCTGCCGCTGCGAATGCACGACCAGAGCGAGCTGTTAAAGCAGTTGCAGCAGTCGTATCCGGACGCAGCATGCATGACTCAGAAGGGCTGCAACTTCATTCTGGTGGCAGACCTTGACCACAACAGCTACATTTCTGAGCCGATTACGACTCACGCATTCATGAGCTACATTATGGTGCTACACTTGTATTTCGATCCAAAAGAAGGCTGTCTCAAGCAACAAATGAAAACGCTGCTGCCAATTCGCGGCAACTTCAACGAACTGCAACGCGGTATGGAGCTGAGCGACGTGGTCGCTTGGAATAACAGGTACTACACGTTCGACGACCGAACCGGAATCGTTTTCGAGCTCTTGCCGTTCGTCAACAAGCCCTCGGTGCTCCAGGTGCAGAGACGTTTGTTTAAAGATCTGATGCCGCTCATCGACTCCGGAGAGCTGCAATGGAATAACATAGACTTTGACCTGATACCGAAGTACATTATGACACAGTCGGAAACCAACTCGAAGGGCTTTAAGATTGAGTGGGCCTCGGTGAAAGACAACATGTTGTACATCGGGTCGATCGGCAAAGAGTATGTGTCCCCCGATGGAGTCACCGTTCTGCACGAAGATCTGTTTGGCGTGATCCGACTCAACGACAACAAGCTAGAACCGGTCCGCGAAGACTGGAAACGACGGTATCAGGCGCTACGCGCCATCAGTGGATGCCCGTACCCGGGCTACCTGATCCACGAAGCGGCACGTTTCAGCAATGTGCGTCGCGAGTGGGTATTCCTCCCACGCCGCTGCTCGACCAAGCCGTACGACGAGGTCAGCGACGAAATACGGGGGTGTAACCTCATTCTCGGCATTAGCGAAGCGAACACGATTTGGAAGCGCAAAATCCGCAAGCGTTCACGAAACCAGCGGAAAGGCTATAGCGCGTTTGCGTTCATGCCGGGGACCAATGACGAAGTGTTGGTCGCATTGAGCACTGAAGAAAATTCAAGCACAGCGAAGTACAGCAGCTATGTCTCGGTGCTCACAGTCAAAGGCGACACTGTGAAGACCGACCACTGCATCTCCGACAGCCTTAAATTCGAAGGCATCGAGGCGCTGTGAGTCACGCGTCTGCGCTCGATGCCAGACTGCTATGAAAGCTCTTCCCACTTACTATTCGTCCAATGCGCCGAGGTTCACGTATCCGTTCGCAGAGAAATTACTGCACAGATAGCAGAACTCTTTGACGTCTAGTAAGTCGCCTGTTTCTGTCAAAACGTTTTTGAGAAATTCCCAGGACACCGAACCGTCGTGCACAATGACGTTTTCCCCCTGCACAGACTCCAACAACCGGAAGGCTTCCACCAGCAGCCCACGCTTCGTTTCTGTCATGGCGATCAACTGGCTCGTTCGACAAGCAACTTGCGGTCAAAGCGCTTTATTACATAAGATTATGAAAAAATACTTCTCAAAGCAACGCGTCCACAACTTCATTTATTTTTGTACAACAAGTGTTTTGCATCACTGGGTTGAAGTAATCTAGAGCAAAAGCCGAGAGCTTCGAGCCCAGCACGTTGATTGGACGCGGCTTGGACTTTGCAAACGTGGCAGGGTTTGTCTGTTCTTGCTGAGCTTGCAACTTCCGCTCGTCAGCGCTTGCGATGTTGTTGATGCAAATAAACGTTTTGTTTAGCAAATTATCAACGGGTTCTATGTCATCAGACGATGGGTTGTACACCGAGTCAATGCCTTGGCTCTTGAGGAACAGCAACGTTGCCAAAATCGACTCGACCTCCAAGCTGAGCAGCTTGACGCGCGGTTGCTTCAGCCGCGTGAGTGCTTGAAAGAAGCCTTTGTCAGTGCTACAGAACCACATTGAGCGCGAGGCGAAGTTCTCTGCAGGTTTCCAGAGTTGCAAGTTCGTGTAGTTCGTCGAGACGAAAAACGAAGCAGAGACTCGGGCTTGATCAACCACGATCTGCTTTTCAACGTTTTCGAACCGTGCAAATTTCTGCAAGTTCTGAGCGTTCCTGCAAAAAACGGGTTCTAGATGCGGCAACTTCTTTTGAAGCAGCTCGTTTTTAAGGTCGAGCGACTCCGGCGAAATGACTCGGAGTTTATCTTGGGCAGCGTTCTGCCGCTTGGCCTTGATTTTGCCGGTACCGCCGATCACGCCCGGTTCGCCGTACGTGTTCATCTCAGCAATATCTTCGCCGCGGAATTTTTTGGCCGTGTCATCAGAAGGTCGGACAGACTTGCGTTTCCAGCCGTATGTCTCGCTCTGGCCGTGCGTACTTGGCAGTATGTCATGCGCCTCCAGCGCAGCAAGAATGTAAGTCGCGTAGCGCTTCATGAAACCAGCGGTCGCAACCTCGTTGTCGTGCAGCGCGTCCTCTGCATATAGCGTATCGGGAAAGGAAGACCACAAGTCGTTGAAGACGTTTTTGAGGCCCGGCTCGGTAGAAACAAAAAACTTGCGTAACTCCGCGACTGTGAGCCGCTCAAAACTGTCGTAGCCTAAGGCACTGTTAGCGTTCGCCATGCCACTGCATTGGAAACGGTAGAATGCCGATGAGATGCGGTCCAGCAAACCCGGTTCGCGCAGCAAGTATTCGAGCCGTTCGTCAGTTAAATCTACAAGAGACTTTACATTCACCGAGTCAACTTCCAGCGGCAGGCGTCGAAGCGAAAACTTCAAATCAGGAACGAAGCTCCGCTCGTTACCGTTAGAGCAGATTTGCTTCCAGTAAGCACATAATTCTTCTCTGAATTTTCCCCATAGCCAGCTCGCAAAGCCGGCGCGCAGTGCATCCCAATGGCAAGCGAGCGGATGCATGACGTCGAAGAACGGGCTGATGTTCGCCAAAGTTTGCCACAGGATAACTATCACGGAAGACTTCGCGCTAATGATAATGGTGTTTTCGCAGTTCTTCGAGCCCTGCAGGATCTTCAGCCCTTCGTCCAGGTGCCATTTGACAGTCTCGAACATTTCATCCTTTACCGCTTTCAACGCGGTGTACGCGAAGGGTAAGACCTCCTGCCGCACAATGGCGAGTCGGAACGGAACGTCTTTGATTGAGCACTCCAGATTCGAAGACTCAGCGGCTAAGTTGGTCAAGTCGCCAGCTGCCGCCCGTGCCTCCGAAGGTAGCAAATTCTGAAAGTCAGCAGTGAGAAGAACGCCCGAGTCGTTCTGCTTGAGCTGCTTGAATAAGTACGCCAGAAGCAACCGCGCTTGTGTTTTTTTTTCGTCGAACCAGTGCGTGATTCGCACTTGCGCCTCGGGATCAGGATTCAGCGCTCTGAAGTTTTCAGGGTAGTACGTTTCCTGGAAAAAATTGTCGCCCACGCAGAGCTCAGAACCGCCGGAGCTGGGAGACCGACCTGCATGCGGCGGCTGTATGGTGCCAACGTCAGACGCCGTCTCAAAGGTCGGCAGTTCCACTACACCAAGTTCCACTGGCTTGTTCTGGGGCTCCTCAACTAGCAGGTTAGATTTAACTAGAAGCTCAATGAAGTACTCACGGTCGCACCGCACCGCCGCCGCGACGAAGTCTCTCAAGTTTCTGCGGCGCAGCTCTTCAGTAGCGCCTGTGCAAAGACAGTAGAAGCGGTGGTATGGCAAGCTGGACACGCTAAATAGGCTGGCGCTCAGCTTGCTGAGCCTCTCGTAAACTTCAGCTCGGACTGACAAAAAGTTGCTAAGATTTAAAACGCAAAGCTCGTCGGAGGAGTTGCTCGAAGTCAATAAGACAGTTACTGGCGTGTCTTCGCACCTGAAGAAGCTCGTGATGTAGAGAGCAGAATATCGGCACGCATCAATATAATTTGCCACGAAATCAGATGTGGGTGCTTCCAGGTTCATTAGAGACTCTGCCAGGCTGGTGGAAGCGCACTCAAGTGAGATGCCTGACATTGAAAGCCGCATCAGCAGTTCTGCGAGCAACCCTAGCAGCAAATTGTAGTTCTGGTGGTTTCTGTCCATGAACTGCACGACGTCGTACTTCGAAAGAGCAACTTTCAGTGAGATGAGAGTCTCATCTTGGAGCAAAATGCATGCGCCTTGCTTCAGCTCGCTCAGCGGACGCAAACTGTCGGCGTTGCTCGACAGCATGCCGACGGCAATCATACACGAAATGCGAACTACACTTTGGATCAACAAACGGAAGTGCACCAGGCCCTCGCTAAGGGTTGCGTCGTCGCTATAAGCGTTGTAGTAAGAAATTCCGAAGTGTTCGTATTCGTCACCTTCTAAAAAGTACTGTAAGCAGTAGAAGCAAATAAACGAAGCCAGCGAATCGAAAGACCAAGACAGGCTGCTACAGTAAATTTTGTGAACCTTTTCGTTTGAAAGCAGTTTTTTGATGAAGCTGTACGCTGCTGACAGTTTGTCGGCAAAGTGCACCGAAAGGTTCACAGACTTGTAGTTCGTCTGCAAAATGGACTTCAGGAGCTGCACGGTTTCTGCACAACGCGGTGTAAAGAAAGCTTGAAAGAGCGAAGCAAGGAAGCTTAGAAAGTCCAGTGAGATGCAAATTTGGAAGTGGAAAGGGACCAAGCTCTCAACCATTTGCACGTGGGCTTTTCGCAGCTTCGCAAACAAAGTCCACTGCTTCCTGAAAGCAGGACTGGGCTTCTTCGAAGCGCACTCGTACGTCAGTGAGTCTATAAGCAGAATGCGGAAAAACTTCTGGAAGCATTTTTCGCAAGACGGGTCGTTCCACAAAGAATAGCGGATGTTACGCTCTGAAAAGAGTAGCATCAGGTCCTCGCGCAAGTAAACAAAATACTCATTCGAACCAATTAATCCGTAGACGAAATCTATCACCGCTTCGAGATTGAAGTCCGCATCAAAACGCTCGGTCACGAACTCTGCGATGAGCAAGACATACCTCATGCAATCAGACAACATGTTCATTCTAGAACAACAGAACTGCTCGTCGCGGTCGCAGCGATTGAAGTGCATCGAGAGAAACACCTTCTGACTCAATGATAAAGTGGAAACATCCAGCAGCATCACCGAATACGGCACTTCGAAGTGCTGCTCATCGCTGTGCTTTTGCAAAAATCGAACGGCAGCCCTGATTCGCGAGTAGCCGGCGATGCACTGCAAGTCGGGTAGCCTATCATCGGTCGCATCGACGTCGCAGTCGAAAACTAGCGCGGTAGCTTTGCGCCAGAGAAGCGGCGCGCAGCTCAGCTGACACGCTCCGAATTCGCGTCTGCCGCGAACGTACCGAGCAACGCCGAAGTCACCGTCCGAAATTGATGAGCATAAGTCGTCGCTATGCGACGCCGCATCCTGCGGCCGAACGCTAGTCATTCGAATTCCGTTGGACTCGATGAGATCTGCGTCGAATCCAGAATTCGTGAAACCGCTGACTGCCTTCGCAGCTACATCGCGCGCTGAAAGAGCTGCTGAGTTTCCAGATGGAGAGGCACATGAGCTCTCCAAGTCACGTTCCAGACAGTTTATATAAGAGTCTGGACTAGATCGGTGACATTCATGTAGCGCAATATCAAACTGCGCCCGAGCCAGACTCTGCAGATCCAGATTTAAAGAGAACACATGGCCCTCTTTCGCGCCGACGCTGCAACGCGCAATCAGCTCATTTGCAAGTGCTTGTTGACTTCGTAAGATTCGCAGCAACTTACTCATTCTGAGGCAAGTGATAATTGTACCTCAAGTAGCTCCATGAAGCGGAACTTTCAGAATGATCGGAATCGCATTGGATTGGTTTTATTATATTCATTAAATTAAGACTATGTCAAAAACAATTGTGCAAATAACTAGGTCCAGTATGAACAACGCGTAGCACATGACTAAGAGACTTAGCGCCAGAAGCGTTTTACTAAAAAAGACGCTCTCCGTTTCGCGAAAAAAGCTCCGTGGTCTGCGCATGCTGGGGACCATGGCACGCTTCAAAGTGGCGAATCAAGAGCAATACTTGCAGTAAGTACATTATGCCGCCAGGTAGGCTCAATCGCCTCGCCAACAAACTCAGCACGCTAGCTGACT